TCCCCTGTAAAGTCAAACAGAGACTTGAGGTTTGGATCTAGATCTTTTTGAGAATATGGGTGGCTGGGGGGAAAAAGGCAAGCCAACATCTTCCCTAGAGTGCCATGATTGAAGGAACTTTAGAATTTTGTGCTCAGTGGCTAAGCTCTAGAACCACAGATTTAGAGAAGACTCCCAGGGCAGCCTCCCACCTGACACCTAGACACCACCTGACCGCGCCCCCACCGGCCCCCAACCCCCCACGGGTGATATTTTTCTGCCTCTGCAAGAGTAAAGGGACACCCAATGATCAGGTCAGAATATTGTTGCTTTCATCTTCCTTTTTTACTTTTCAACTGAATATGAGTTGTTTTGATACGTAGGAAATAATCTATGCATCAGGAAAGGACCAGATGCTGTCGAGACTCTAAAGCACATTTTTCCCAGTTACCTGATTCTAGCTTTCCATTACCAGGTGAGCTATTTTCCAGATCTGGACGTTGCCGATACCTAAAAGCAACATGAAATAATTCTTATGGATAGACATGCAAGTGGAATCTGTCCAGTAGAGGGACCATCTTCCTTCCACGTGGCAAAAACTCTGTTTCCAGTAAGGATATAAATGAGAAAGAACTCTAGATTCTTTTCTGGATGTTGGAATAAGTAACAAGGAAGAAGCCATTTGTTGGGGGTGGGGTTGAGAGAAACAGGTGAAGGGGGTCAAAAGGTTAAAAGAAATTAAATAAGTAAAAAATGCGGAAAAATAAGGAAAACCACCCAAAGTGATTCTGCCTGTATTCTGCTATGGCAACAGGGTGCATCTGTCACCTTGGCCAAGCTGAATGGTAAGAGTGCGAAGCAGCCATGCAAGCTCAGAGCTGCTGGGCAGGCCATGGCCAGGCCTTGGGCCACCCCTCCCAGACACCTGTCATTTTTCCACGAGATTGGCAGGCACTTCCCTCGGACCTTTCAACACCCACTACCGTGTGTGCCTCTTCCCTAAAGACCCAGTAACCCTGCTTCTTTGTCAAATGCACACCATGTGCCTCTTCACGTAACCATTTCCTCAAACCAGATCTAAATATTTCACCTACATCAAGGGCTAAGTATAGACAAAGGACAAGTGCAAACAAGCTAGAATCATAACCTTTTTCTTCTCAGAAATGGCTACTCTCTTGCCGTTTCTATCCCCTTACTTCTGTTATTTATGAATTCTGTTTCTGTTGTTTCCATGAGTTGTTCCACAGACAAAAAAAAGCATTTAACGTATTTCTCCATAAGGTGTTCTAACCAGTTAAGAAACCCCACACCTTACAAAGCAAATCTATGTTTTAATATTAAAAAACCTTTCTCTTTAATGAGATACCAAATGAAAAAAAATTCTTTTCAAAATACTCTTTTGTTGGGGCGCCTGGGTGGCTCAGTTGTTAAACATCTGCCTTCAGCTCAGGTCATGATCCCGGGGTCCTGGGATCGAGTCCCCCATCGGGCGCCCTGCTCAGCGGGAGGGCTGCTTCCCCTTCTCCCACTGCCCCTGCTTGTGTTCCCTCTCTCGCTGTGTCCCTCTCTGTAAAATAAATAAATAAAATCTTTAAGCAAACAAACAAACCAAAATACTCTTGTCTTCTGCATTTGTTCCTTTTAATTATAGATGTACATTTAGGTTATTCATGTATATTACAAAAAAACAATGAAAAAACTTCAGAATGGTTACATGTGAAAAATAAAAATCTCCAGCTCCTTATTCTTCGATGCTAACTTATATCCCAAGAGGTGAAACATTTTTTAAAAGTTAGCATTTTAATTTTGTTATGGGTAATTTACGTGGTGCAAGCATCAAAAGCCATGGAAAGATGCCACTCCCCCCCCCCCCCCCCATTCCTCATTACTCCTTAGCAGGTAATTGTTATTAGTTTTGTTTGTCCTTCCAGAAAAGTTGTATGTGTATATAAGCTGATATAGGTATTTTTCACCTTACTTTTGCACAAATGATGAGCTCCCACATTCGTTATTTTGGCATTTGACTTCTCTCCACTTAATAATTTATTTTAGAGCCTTTTATCACTATGTAAGGATCTTCCTCATTTTTTTTAACCAGTTAATATTATTACAAGTGAATATATTGGTGTACCATAATACATTCTCCCCGTTCCCATGTAGCAACATTTAAACAGTTCCCAATCCTTTCCTAGAAACCAATGAAATCCAATCCCTAGAAACCTAGAAATCCAATCCCTAGAAACACTACTGTAATGAAAAACATCTGTGTGAGTCATTTTTCAGGCAGGTAGTACATCGGTAGGGTATATTTCTACCAGAGAAATCTATAGGTAGGATTTGTAATTGTGACAGTGCAGAGTTTTCCTTCACAGCAATGAAGCTAATCTATATTCCCATCCCCCATCTTTGAGACTGCCTGCTGGCCCATTCCCAGAGAACCAAGTGTATTGTTATACTTTTGGATTATTTTCTAGTCTGCCAGGTGAAAAATGGTATCTCATTATACTTTAATAAACATTTCCCTCACGAGTTAATTTAAACATCTTCTACATGTCTGAGCCATTTGTATTTCGCTTTCTCTGAATTCCCTGTTCACATGATTTGCCCATTTTTCTATCAGGTGACTGATCTTTCTCTTACCAGTTGGTGTTGGTTCTTTATAAATGAGGGAAAGCAGCTTTGAAGTGTTGCAATATTTACTCCAGGTTATCATTTGTCTTTTGGGTTTGTTTGCAGTGATTTTTCTTCTACACGTTAAGTTTAGTTTTATGCTGTCAATTCATTTTATTAAATGATTTCGAGGTTTTATACTACTTTAGAAAGATTTGAGGTTATAAAACAATGTTACATGTTTTTTTTCTAGTATTTTTGTGGTTTTGTGTTTTTTTTTATAACTGTGCATTAATACTAGATATTACATATGGATGGAGTTATTCTATCACTTTTGGGTCCAACTTTGTTTTCCTTTGAAAAAAAATTGTTCCAATTTCTTAAATATCCCATCTTTTTCTTCCTTTTGTATGAGATGCTATCTTAATCATAGTCTAACCCATTAGGAACTAGGGATTGATTCAGAACTTTTTACTCTTTTCCAGTGGACTGTCCCTTCATGTTGCTATGTTACTGCAGTTGAGAGTTTAAATAGGATTTTATTCTCTGCAAATAATTTAATTTCATTTTCCCATTTGACAAAGCATTTTCCTGGTTCTTCTTTGTTAACTTTCCAAATAAAATTTAGAATCACCCTCACTAGTTCTGAAAAAAAAATGCTGTATTTTTTCCTCTGAGACAGTATTTAACTTATAAACTCATCTAGAAAGCAGGATCATAGGGGAAGAGAGGAAAAAATGAAACAAGACAAAACCAGAGAGGGAGACAAACCATAAGAGACTCTTAATCATGGGAAACAATCTGAGGGTTGCTGGAGGGGAGGGGGGGTGGATGGGGTAACTGGGTGATGGACACATGTAATGAGCACTGGGTATTATATAATGAATCACAGACCTGTACCTCTGAAACAAATAATACATTATATATTAATAATAAAAAAAAGAAAGCATGACATCTTTATATATTTTTTCTTCCTAACCAACAACAAGATAGGCTTTTCCATGTGTTTAGGTGTTATTTTGTAATCTACAGAAGTTTTAGCAGGCATATTCATATATGCTTTACACATTTATTAAATAGATTACATGTAATTGTTTTGTATTATTTTTGTCCTACCATAAATTGGGTCTTTTACTCCCATGCATCTTGTAAATGGTTGTTGTATCATGAGGGCAGTTGATTTCTATACACTTACTTTCTGCACTGCAATCTTAGTTTTTAGTTGAGTCTCCTGGGTGTATACTTGTATCTGGAATAGTGATAGTTTTGCTTCCTCTTTTACAGTTCATCTCATTTTCTTTTTTTTGCTTGTGTAATTGTGTTGGCTTATACCTCTAGTACAATAAATTAAATAAGGAGAAAAATAGTGATCATCCTTTCCTTGGTTTTGATGTAAGTAGGAATGTCATTAGTTTTCCCTAAGTAAGTGTTGGCTTTGGGGCTGAATCTTATTTTCAGTCCAGTAATCGAATTTTAGAATTTGGAGAAAAGGATATTTGAAACATAAATTTTGAATCAGCATTCTTTATTTCCATGGCAGACTGCTCCATGTTTCCTCTGTTGCAGTTTCAAAGGACACAAGCACAGACGATTCTCAGCACAATTCATCAAAAATTTAGAAAGGCTCTTTACTATTTTTGCACACATTATTTTACGTAGCACAATCTTTGCCATTTAAAAATTAGGTGCTCCCCCCCGCCCCATCAGTGTTTTCTTACTTACAAATAATTTTAGAAACTCCTGGAAATTTCTTAGACAGAGATCACACTGACATAGCATTAAAACACCTATCTGGGGTCATGGTAGGGATAAAGCTCATTGCCTCCCCTAGGGCCACCAGGGATGGACTTGAATGTCATTCTGTGGACACACAGGAATGTCTGGGGCTATTCCTGAGGTAGAGTTTCAACAACAAAGCTCAGCAGAACACAAAGTAAAAAGTAATCATGACAAAATTAAATGGTGATATAATCAAAAATAGCTTATGAATTATTGTTATGAATATAGCTTTGTGAATCCATGTTGTGGATCCATGTTGTGAATCCATGTTGTCAGAATTGGAGAGAGGTCCTTAGAAATGGGACCAGACCTTGAAATTCGCACAGAACACTGCAAGTTATATAGAAATATACTTAATGGAAGAAGGAGGAAAATGGCTATGTGACAAAAATGTCCCATCTCTTGCCTGTTTTGGTAAGATAAAACAAATATCTAAAGCAAGCAAAGGGGTCAGTCCAGTTAGTATTTCTGCCTATGAATGAGGAACAGCAACTGCAGGATGACTGCAGTTTTCTTGTGGCTTGTGTCCATGCCATGTATATGTCCTAGGGAGTAATCAAAACCACAATTTCCCAATCCTTGCTACTCGTTGGGAGTCCCCAACATGGGCTCTTTGATTGAGATGACGGGCCTTGTCAACTACATCCAGATGGACACATAGCATCTGGTCTAAAACTGAGATTTTGTTGTGGTCTTGAAAAGGTTCACTGAAATCCAGACTTAAGACATGTGTCAATTTATGGCACTCGGTGACTTTGTGACCAAGAGGGTCCTTGCTCAGTGGATGCAGTGGCTGCCATAAGGTTAGAGTTTTGTTCCCATGATGACATTCCTTAGTCCCTCTGGGTGGGGCTCATCTGGATTCTGACTTGTAGCAGAACTCTGTGCTTGCTTTTGGCATTTGGTTGAGTAGATGATGTACATGCTTCTCGTTAGAAAAATGGCGGCAATAACTGCAAAATAACTCCCATAAACTAAAAACTAGAGAAAAACAAATAGAATTAACTAGACACACAAAAATATGACTGTCTATGTCACTGATAATACACAGTGATGGTGCTGATTTGCTTGGATTATGGGATAACTAAGACCAAGGACCTTAATATGGGTCATTTAGATTTACACAATACTTTCTTCTTCTATCTTAGAAGAATCAGCCATAAAAGTATAAGAAATGCAGTAACTAAGAATGTGGGTTCTGGAGCCAAGTTTACTTGGGTTCAAACCCCAGCTAACACCACCAATCATGAAAAAACACTAAGTCCCATTGATCTATGTGTTTATGTCTGCAGGACAGTGCAATGCTACGAGTGAATTTTAGATAATGAGGCTACTTCTTACATGCCTTAACCCCCCCCCTTTCCCAGAGCCAAATGTAAAATGTGAAATTGGGCTAATTTCAAGTCCCTTAGTGGAGTAGGGAAAAGGAACTGAGCTCTGCAGCCATGTACCATTTTTAGTCGAATCTCTTAACCCTTGGAAGGGGATGACGGGAGGAAGAGCAGACATACAGGGGACACAGTTACCGGAGTAGCACCTGATGAGGTGTTAGGAGCCACAGGCAAGGGCTAACCAACTGTGTTTATTGCTGAAGACCTACTTGGTGTGTTACAATATGATAATTAAGGAATTGCTTATTTAAAAATTTGCCCAACTAAGCAATTCAAGAAATTAAATATTGGCTGTGGTGAGGCTGAAAAAACCTTTCAGATTACCTAGGTATTCTACATTCCCCCAACTACCTGACTAGGAAAACGGCAATATTGCAGCTTACCTGAATGCTGATTGGCAGGTTGAGTCCTTTCTGATCTACTACGATCACTGTCATAATGGTCTGAATCACCAGGGCCATGAAGGTGTTCATTCCAAACACCAGGGCGTAGCGTTCCACATTCAGATTAACTGCGATCTGAAATCTATCATTAAACGTTGAATTACGTTTTTTTTTTTTTAAACAAAATACACATGGGACTCTTACCTTTAAAAGACAGAAATTGAAGATAAAAGTGATGTCTTGTTACCAGTACTCTTTGGCTAAATCTCCTCCAGTTTAGACAAACAGGTAGAGCAAAGAAAGGGAATTAATTTTAAAAATCCAGTTGAAGGCTGAACTAAAATACCAGTTGAGGAAATATGACACAATTCCTCCTATCCAATTTAATGCTTCCCAGAAATGAAACCTAAATATTCTAAGTTCTCATAACCTGAGAACTTAGATAGCATCAGATTTGATGCTATCTGATTTTAGATAGTGTTTCACAGTGAATTTTTATGAAAATGCAAAAGCAATATCCAATCCATGGAATCATTTGGAGAGTTATTCTTTTTATTGTCAATTGTACCAATAGCTTCTAAATTTTGTGAGTTATTTGGAAGATCCAAATCATGACTGGCTGTGCAACTGAATGAATCTGTAATTAATTTGTTTTTAATAATTAAATAGATTTTGACATCTTACGACTCATGAATGACTGGCAAATGTATGTTATTTAGAGCTCTTCTGTGGCAAAGGTAAAGGACTTTTGGTTCTGAGGATTCTTAAAATGAAAAGAAGTAATGTAATCCTACCTTAACAATGTCCTTTCGCATTAAAAAGAGAAACTTAAGAGATATGAGTTTGATTCATTAAACTGACATATTTCCACAAAAAAGTCAACTTGCCAACAAGCTATGCTCTTTCTTTTGTTCCATGGTCTTTTCGAAGTCTGCTTATATTTCTGTGTTTCATCAATTCCTTATCAAACATTTTTCACACATTAAATCCCAAAACTTTATAATAAAGTTTCTGGCTCTACTTCTTTCATATGATTTGAAATTCAAATATTTCTTATCTCTTTTGGTTAATACCAAAGCACATTTCCAATAGTCAGCTTTCTCTGAACTTCTATATGGAACAAAACGTTTTTCATTTAAAAAAATGATTTCTGGGATACATAGTTTCTTATAATCATTGCATCTACTTTTTTCAATATCCAACTTTTTATAATTTGCTGAGCATATTTTGCTTTACACAAAAGTATATGCCTGGAATTACACAAACAACTAAATGAAATTAACTTTAATAAACTTACTCAAAATCAGATTGCTCCACACCTTGTTATGGCAAAAAGCTTGAAATAAAAATCACAACCCGACAGTGTATCATTGCTTTTGGTTTATGAACCCACAGAACTTCTTTTTTCTTTGATGACTAATCTTAGCAACATTCACAGGGTAAATAGTTAAATGAAAGCATGGCTTAATTGTGTCCAATTTAATATGTAATCAACATTTAATATTGCAATTGATTAAAATCCTTCTGACGTTCTGCAAGGAACTATAGAAATGCTACAGAAGAGAGAATATGGTGTGGGTTTAGGAGTGGAGAGAAGTGGTTGGTAATACTCACACTGCTATGGTTATAAGAAGCATATAGCTGGACTTGAATATCAGATAGCCAGCATAGCATGCCCAGATGTCGGTCGTGTAATTCATGAGAAACAGAGAGCCTGCACTAACGATGGAGAAAATGGCTAGAGCCAACTCTCCCAGAAGATCCCAGTTGACTTTCACATAGCCCACTGCAAAGGCAGCCATGGCCCCTGAAAAAGAAACATTAAGGGAGATCCAACACATTGACTTTGCACGTGGGACAGGTCAACACGCTCTCTTTAAAAAGCCACATCTTAGGCAAATCTACAAGATGAATATGTGGCTCTCACAAAAATAGTGTGATCCACCTAAATGTGGATTTATCTTTTTCTCAACCAGGTTTGCCTTTGACTTCTCTCTTTACCTACTCTTCTTTCAATCAGGTAGTTGCCACACTTTTAATTAGCGTCTACCACATGCCATGCAGTGCACCCTGCGGAGGGGCCAGAAAGGTTCTTTATCACAGCAGCGCGGGGAGAAACAACACCTAAACCCAGTCACTTGCTACAACATAGAAGAAGAGTGAAAGGGCTGCTCTGGTGTATATCTAGCCTGTCCATACTTGCCTTTCTTGTTCGCTGTTCATCGTAAATTTTTTCAATGGGTAATGGATGTGTTTCTACCCTGGGTAGAAAATTTTAGTCTTTATTAGTAATCTTAATCTTCTGGTCTCCATCGCAATGTCTTTGAGATCTGGCCTCATTTACTCGAGGTTTTCAGCGAACTCTATACTGATTTACGGAGTTCAAGAGATTGAATAACTGGCAGTCGTTAGGGTTACTATTTGTAGTTCTTTTTAACAAAATGAAAGGTATTTATGTTTCAAATTGCTGATGTTTGGTTAATTAACTTTTCCACCTGTGATCCAGGAAAGAACCAGTGTTACAAAAGAAATAAAATTCTTTCCTCCCCAGAATTTGGAACGTAAGAGAAAGAATTTCAGTGAACCAATTCTAGTGCAGTCCTGGTATGCAGGAGTTAAGGTGAGGCCTCCCAAAAGAGAGACAATAGGAGAACAAACACCACATGAGTTTTCTGAAATTTTTGGGAAATGAGGGTGTGGAAATCTCCTACTTCCTAGAAAATATCTTTAAAGTCTCAGTTGAGTTTAAGTTTCCACTTACCAGGATACAAATATTTATTACAGAGTAAACTTCAAAGGCAGATTTCCTTCTGATATTAGAATCCTGACTCTCACATTTATTCTACTTCTCACTTAAATCTCTTAAGAAAGCTACTTTTGGAAATTTTTGGCATGGAATCTAGAATTGCTAAAGGTGGGGTACTAGCTAAATCAAATCCTTTAGTAACAAAACTCCTCCAGTGGTAATCTGGAAGCCTTGACAGTTCAATCTATTACTAAAATAATAAAAACTTCTTACTTATATACGAGGTGAGTATTTTCCTTTGGATATAAAAACAACCTGGAAGAATAAGGGGCATTACTAACCCCTTTCCTGATGATGAATTGGAATCTTAGGAATTTGGCCAGAATTTAATCATTTGGTGCTTAATCCTGAGCTCTTGAGTTACCTGCTGTAACTCTACCACACTGAATAGAAGTGTCATGGTCCTCTTTTTTTTCTTTCCAGTGAATCTCATTTAAAAAAAATATTGATATGCCCTCTGAACAGAACTAGTTTACCACCATGGAGTTTAGCAACTGAAGACATAAACTTAAAGGGGGTAACCCATCATAGGAAGATAAATCAATGTTTGCTTACCTCCAAAGGTTGCAATAGCTTCTACTGCCCCATTATAGATTGTAGAACTCTGGGACGGTGCCTTGTAATCCCACAGGATTTGAACATAGTTCAAAACCTGGTTAAAACCTGCTGTGGAGAAGGCCCACCACAGGGACCAGTAGAAAAGTCGCTTGGAGGAGTAGCACTCCTTCAAATCTTGGAACCACTGTACAAAAACACTCAACGCTACATTTCGTGGCATCGGGCCGCTCGACGGACCACCATCCAGGTTCCCTGAAATGGTGGCTATTTCTGAAGTGGGTTTCTCTCCGCCGCCTGCTGTGTTAACTTTGTAAGGTGCATCTGATGCCGCGTTTTTGTTCGGTGGCTTCCGTACTTCTTTGCCGGGTTTGGCATGAAAAAACATGCTCTTCTTAGGCATTGGTAGGAAAAGTGACAAAAGAAAGGCCACCGAGACGGAGACCAAGGATATGACGTTGAGGTAAAAGTACGATAGGCTGGCCAGGGACACCAGGAGCTGGGCCAGCACCGAGGCCGCCGTGTAGGCCACCAGCGTGATGCTCCTGCAGTAGCTGCTCACTTTCTGGTAGTGCTCGGGGCTGACCACGCTGTAAATGTAGGCATAGTAGGCCACCTCGGTGGCGGAGACCATGCCATAGAAGAACTCCAGCACCTGCATGGCCTTCACTCCCTGGCCAAATACAAGCAGCAGCCAGGTGATGATGAAGCTGATCCCTTGCAGGATGATGACTGGCTTGTAGCGGACGTAATCGGTGAGGATGAACACGGGGAGAAGCAGCACCAGGTAAGAGTATGTCCAAATTGGAAGGATTTCATTGGTGATCTGTGAGGTTGAAAAGTGGATCACATAACCATGCAGCAGCGGGAGGTAAAAAGGATACCTTTTTAGGTAGTACATTACTAAGGTACAGGTGGCTTGCCCAATAGCAAATTCTGCATCCAATGGGATAGGATGTTCTTTATTATGATGGAAAAGCACAAGAGAAAACTGATTTTCAAGGAAAAGAGAGCTCCTTCCCCTTCTCCAAAACAAAACCAATTTATAAATGTATGTGCCTCCCAACGTAAGAATATATTTGCTTAACGTGCAATCTGAACTCTCTTATTAAAGTTAAATAGTATGTACATTTGAGTTAAATTAGTTACAAATTGTTCAACAGACACTTCGGAGTTTTTCAGGCTCTTAAAAAATACCACTCTTTTCCTGTTGAAAGATTTTAACATTAGACAATGTTAGAAGAAGCGACCACCTTTTTGTTTATTTGATCCATCACTGTGTCATAAATGTCCAGAGTCTAATGAACATACGTGAAGACAGCAACGAATAAATACTAACCTTGCAGAATTATAAAGTGGGAGCAAGTAATGCACTGGATTTTCTTCCTGGCCAAATTTGCTGGGCTCCCAAAGCCTCTTCCCTCCCAACTCTAGTGGTTAATCTCTGCTTACTCAATTCTGGCCTCAGTTTGATGTGGGTATCTCATGGCTGTCGTCAGAAATGCCGGGGACCTCAGTGATCAGTCCTAGAAGGGAGGGACTGAAGGGGCTGATCTCTGGGGCAGGATATGGGTGTGGGGGCAGCTCTGTCAGACCAGCCTTTGTTCTGTGCCCCAGGTGTCGACAGCAACCTCCGTGGGCCCCAAGGTCAATGACGAGGGAAAGCTCAGTGACTGGAAAGGCTAGTGGGACCAAGTGGCACCTCTGAGCATGGGTACCTTAACTGGTCCACAGTGGTTGCAGAAGCAGACCCCACTGGGTTCACCGGATGATTTGGGACCTGTATTTGTTTGTCCTTTGTTTTGTCTTAATCGTGATAGGCTTCCACCTGGAAAAAATTGGAAACGGGGTTGTCGCGAAGTGATTTTACATCACCGCACAGCAAGCTTGCTTTTCTGTCCGTAGCACCTCATCGCCAAATTAACTAGTATTGAGGAACCTTCCAGGTGAAGCCACACACTCTGCAGTGCTTTCGTGGTTATGGCTGGAGATGATAAAAGCATCACAGGGTAATTCTCCAGTTGGGTGAGTACGTTTTCCTGTTGCCCTTATTATAAAAAAGGAGGTGAATCTTTTCAGTAAGAGAATTTGGCCTTCAGGGGAAGATAAAACTGAGAGATAAAGCTGTTAATGTCTCACCGGCTGGTCGATAGTTTTTCACAATTGAGTAAGTGTCCTCAAGAAATGATACGATTCTTTATCAGATCCTGCTTATGCCTCAGCCGCCCAAAAGTTTGTGAGGACTAGATCCTGTGCCTGGCAGAGATTTTACTTTACGGTTAGTATAACAAATCAATTGAGCCTGAAAGTTACCAAGCATTAAGACTAATGGTAGAACTCCATAAAAGTTAAAATATTTATTAGACATATAATGTGCTATGGTGTCCCATTTCTGTATGTGTGAGGAGGGAAGAGTAGTTTGAGTCGTTGTATTAAATGACAAGTACAATGAAAATGGGATCGGAGAGGTCAGTGGGTTCATGTCTCATGCTGAATGAAGCCCTAATGGCACGTCCTGTTCAAATCCTGTAAAGTTAAATTATGTTAAGATATGTCTGTATGTATGTTAATTTACCTCTGAGTTGGTCAGGTTTTTATCTGGTCCAGATAAATACGGGATAAGGAAGGGTTCTGAGGGTCTCATCATGGAGAAAAATCCAAATAAGCACAGGATCACCGTGGGATAAATCCAGGAATGACTTGGTGAAGTTTTGAAACAATCCATGGCTGATCAAATGGAAACAAAGTCAAAATTAGCTGATGTTTACTTACTTTTGGCATCCTGGATATAATGAAAAACCGATTTCTAAATGTCTTGTGAAAGGGTAAAGTTTCATCTGTCTGCAGTTGAAATGGAAAGGTGAGTGATGAATAAATGTTCTCAAATACTCCTTAGGTGCACCAGTCAAACCCTCCTTTGTCAATGGGCTTCTTACTCACTATTGCTGGGACAGGTTACACCTCCTTAGTGTTCTTCATCACGAACGTGGTAAGGAGTAGTTACTAATAAATGGTAAACATGGGTTAATTCACGCTTGAAAGTAAGTAAAACATTGGCTGGTGAGTTACCGGTGTACATGTGGTAGGTCAAGTACCTCTAGGAGGTCAAATCCAACTTAACGCAGATTTAGTGGATCAAGTTACTACTAATCTGCCCACTCTATTTTGTACTGTGACTCTGAAATCTTTCACACACTGAATGGCGTGTGTTTATTTACACATTTATCTCTCCATTACACTATCCCTTGCTTTGTATGGTGCTTGACACATAATACACATCCAAGATACTTTTGTTAGGTGTCTCCAATCTGAGAATTTATAATTCTTCAGTTAAAAAAAAATAAAGCCAGATAAAGATCTGACTGGCCATTTTTCCCTATTTTCCCCCATTCCAGACTGATGCTAAGTCTAGGTTGGGAATGCAAGGCATCACTCTGTAGACAACTAATCTCCTTTTCATTACCACTGGGCCCATTGCTTCTCTTTGTCTGCAGTTTCACACCACCCAGTGGGGCAGGGAGCTAATTAATAGTTCACGCTTTCTTTTTTCCAAGCCACAAATAAAATTGCTTGAAATGCAAACTTCAGACAGAAAGTCCAATGGAAAATCTGAAACAGGAAAATTCCCTCTCATTCCTTCATATTTGGGATCCAGCTTTACTTATGCAGCATGGGGAATGGGGAAACTAACTTGCTGTATGATGCTTTTCTGCATATTATCTAATTAAGTCCTAATAATAACTGTAAAATAGATACCATTTCCCCAAATTCCCAGCTGAGCATATGGGAGATCCAAAGTGTCCTATAACTGCCTTCAAACCACATGATCAAGATTTGAATCCACATCTCCTGGATTTCTATCTGGGTCCTTTCCCCTGCTCCACTCTGCCTCATTCTGGTGGCCCTTCCTCCTGGGCTGCTGGTAGCAACCTAATGACAACCTTTCCTCGCAGGAAGGGAAGAAAGTGTTTTCATGAACACACTCATCCTAAAGAATATGACTAACTACATAGAACCTCCAGGGTCAATTGTAGTTTGAAAGTGGACCCAAGAGAGGGAAAGTGATGCTCACTCCAGAAGAGCATGTCAGTGGGTGCAGTTCCAGGTGTCTAGGAAAAGGAAACTTGTTAGGGGCGAGTGAGGTGGGGAGGGCCTACTGGGCCACCATATCTTTTCACAAGGTGACCTGGACAGTGGCATAGTTCTTTCAAGTTAAATGAGGGGAACACTGTCTCTGTTTTTGTCAACAAGACCCTTGATGGAAACAGTGCAGACACAATGGAAATCAGAATTTGGACGGGATTATAATTTCGAGCAATGCTGACAATGTGAAAATTTTGCTAATAGCGTACTGGGTTTGACTGCCCTCAGCCTTCAATGCCTGGGATTCATCTCTTCCAGAGTTGCGAGAAACACCAGCAAACCGCTGGGGCCTTCTTTCTTCGTGAGTCATGTGCTTGCAGAGAAGTCTATCCTGGGAAGACAACCGCTGAGGCTTGGCTATCTTTCAAAGGACGGTCTTTTTTTTTTTTTTTTTTAAAGATTTTATTTACTTATTTGAGAGAGAGAATGAGCGATAGAGAGCACGAGAGGGAAGAGGGTCAGAGGGAGCAGCAGACTCCCCGCTAAGCAGGAAGCCGGATGTGGGACTCGATCCTGGGACTCCAGGATCATGACCTGAGCCGAAGGCAGTCGCTTAACCAACTGAGCCACTTAATGGGGTAACATCTGTTGACTCTACATCTAGAACATTCTCTCCATCTAGCTGACCGTGGATTGTCTGCTGCCTTCAAGTCATTATCTTCTCCATGCATCTCAGAGAACTAAGTCTACTCCCATGGTTCCCTGGGAGTAGAGTCTTTTTTTAAAAGATTTTAAAATCTTTTTTTAAAGATTTTATTTATTTATTTGACAGAGAGAGACACATCTTTTTTTAATTTTTTTTTAAAGATTTTATTTATCTCTCTTTTTTTAAAGAGAGATCTCTCTTTTTTTAAAGATTTTATTTATTTATTTGACAGAGAGAGACACAGCGAGAGAGGGAACACAAGCAGGGGGAGTGGGAGAGGGAGAAGCAGGCTTCCCGCGGAGCAGCGAGCTCGAGGCAGGGCTCGATCCCAGGACCCTGGGACCACGACCTGAGCCAAAGGCAGTTGCTTAACCAACTGAGCCACCCAGGCGCCCCTATCCCTTCCATCTCTTAACTGTCCTAATACTCCGACCCAACTGCATTTGGCTGGAAAGGTCACACAGAAAAAGATGGTCTATCTCCCATGAGAGTGTAAGCAGGAGGGCAGGGCTTTTTGTTTGGTTGGTTCACGGCTCTATGCCTCATACCTAGAAGTGTCCAACACATGGTATCTCTTGCAGAAGGAAGAAGATAAAGGGCAAACCTCACTACTGAGAACTAGTAAAGTTTTGTCTGCATTTCCAGAGTGTACTGCTAGCTGCATCAGGGGAAGGCTAGGGAGGTCCTTAATTCTACACGGGCCTCGCAGTTCAGCTGTGCATCTGTAAAATGGGGTAATGATGCTAACTACATGTGTGGGCTTTCAGTGAGCACCAGTGAGCCTTGACTGATATCTGGAGGCACCATGTTGGGCACAGAGTTACTGCTCAAACACATGGCATTTCTCTTCCCTTTCCTCTCTTCACGTTGGAGGATCCATAGTGATTCTGGCTTAATGAGGAGAAAATGAGGGAAGGTTTCTGACCATAGCTGAAAACAACTGAGAAAGATCTGGGGGGCTCACACCTGCATCCTTGCATCCTGGGATGCTGGGCTTCCTGTCCTCACTCCTTTCCCAGCCTCCTCCCCACAGAAACAAACACAGGCTCCAAAGCTAGGTTTTCTGCCCGAGGAAATAGGAGAAGGCATTTAACCAAACATTAGCAGGAATCCTTTAGCCTGGGAGGACTGGGCAGAACAGCACGGGTGACCAGACCCTTTCCAAGGCCAAGTCTTGCCTGCTGTCTGTTCGTCAGCCTGCAGGGCTCCAGCCCTTGTTACTGCCTACTGGGAGACTTCTCAGCGGTGATTGTCTGGCTGTTCTTTCCCCTTCCCCCAGCCCGGGGTCCCCTTGTCTAGCACTGGTCGCATTCCAGAATCCTTTCCTACTCTGGCCACTTAACAAAGACCATGTGAACTTGACTCGCTTATCAGATGGCCTGGGCACTTGGAAAAATAGGGACTTCCGGGCTCCATCCCTAAGATGTGGTTCAGGAGGTACGGGGGCCACGGAATCTGCATTTATATAGAGCGATTCTGACACAGGAGGCCCAAGGACAATTTGTCCCTTTCCCATCCGCTGGGGGCCAACTGGCTCCATGCCACAGCCTTGGAGCTTAACAGGGTGGAGGGGGAAGCAGATGGAAATCGTCCAGGGAGCTTTTGCAAAACTACACGTAGACACACGACCCTGAAATTCTTTTCTGGCTCTCCAGGCCCTGAAGAGTCCAGGACAGGTGGAAACATCCTCAGGTGACTCTGATGTTTTGGATATGCCTCTCAACATTCTGTCTGCCCCAACCCACTAACCCCTTCTCCTGTGTGCACATCACTCCCTGTTTGTGACCCATTCTGTCCCAGTCAGCTGAAAGCCTTTTCCGGTAGGGGCCCTTGAGTGTCTGTGTCTAGCTCTGAGTAAATACCATGGCTCTGGCTTCTTCAGTTCCACAGCACACAGGTTCTGAAACTCTCCAGCCCAGCATGACCTTTCACCCACCGTCTGAAGGCAGTGATTTTGTTCTTACTTCTCGCACACAGGTAAAATGGTAACAATCTATCAGCTATTGTCTGTGTGGCTCCTGCTTTACACCAAGTATTGTATTAGTTGCTGTATATAATTATTGTCTCTAATCCTTAGAACAGTCCTAATTATACACATTATATATATATCGATAATTATATATTTTATATAATAATTATATACAGATATTTATTATATAAATAATTATAATTATTAAATATGGTTATATTAAATAAATGTAAGTATAATTATAGGATATATAATACACATTTATTATATTTGTTATTACATGTAGTTGATCCTTAAACAACAAGTTTGAACTGCATGGGTCTACCTATAGGCAGATTTTTTTTGATAAATACAGTATAGTACTATAAATCTATTTTCTCTTCCTTATGATTTCCTTCTCTAGCTTACTTTATTGTAAGGATGCGGTATATAGGGGCGCCTGGGTGGCTCAGTTGGTTAAGCATCTGCCTTTGGCTCAGGTCATGATCCTGTGGTCCTGGGATCGAGTCCCGCATGGGGGTCCTTGCTCAGTGGGGAGCCTGCTTCTCCCTCTGCCCCTCCCCCAGTTTGTGCTCTCTCTGGCTCACTCTCTCTCTCTCAAATAAATAAATAAATAAATAAATAAATAAAATCTTTTAAAAAAAGAGAATACAGTATATAATACATATAACATACAAAATATGTGTTGACTTTTGTTATCAGTAAGGTTTCTAGTCAACAGTAGACTATTAGTAGTTAAGTTTTGGGGGAGTCAAAAGTTATAAGTGGATTTTCAAACATGTAGGGGGGTGGCATTTTTAACCCCTATGTTGTTCAAGGATCAACTGTAATTACATATTTTTTATATGTATCTGAAGTGTCCCCAATTTCTCAGACGTGGGAACGGAGCCTCCTCAAAGCTCATGGCCACTCCACTAAGAAAGGTTAAGATTGAGTTCAGGGTCGGATCTGTTGGCGCCAAGTCTGC